GAAGTAAATGAAAATAAAGTGAGGTACCTTGATTGGGGCAGGGGGTTGGGGTGCAGGAGGGGATGCGGGGGTCGGGCTCTGGGAGGGAGTTTGGGTTCTGGGTGCAGGCTCTGGGCTGGGGCAGGGGGTTGGGATGGGGAGGGGGAGGGTGTGCGGCGCTGGGAGGAAGTTTGGGTGCTACGTGCAGGCTCTGGGCTGGGGCAGGGGGTTGGGATGTGGGAGGGGGTGAGGGGTGCGGGCTCTGGGAGGGAGTTTGGGTTCTGGGTGCAGGCTCTGGGCTGGGGCAGGGGGTTGGGATGTGGGAGGGGTGAGGGGTGCGGGCTCTGGGAGGGAGTTTGGGTTCTGGGTGCAGGCTCTGGGCTGGGGCAGGGGGTTGGGATGCGGGAGGTGTCAGGGGTGCGGTACTTACCTTGGGCAACGCAGCTCCCAAAGCGACCAGCACACCCCTCTGGCAGCGACTCCTGAGCAGGGGGTGGGGCAGGAGGTCTCTGTGCACCGCTCCTGCAGCTTCCATTGGCCGCACTTCCTGGCCAATGGGAGCTGCGAGTCGGTGCTTGAGTCGGGGGCAATGCACGGCGACACCCTGCCCAGGGGCCACAGACACATGCTGGCTGCTTCTGGGAGCGGCGCGGTGCGGAGGGAGGGAGGGGGGCAGCACGGGCAGGGAGCCACTTTAGCCCTGCTGCACTGCTGCTGGCATGTCTCTGCGCGCCCCTTGGGGGAACAGGAGCAGCAGGGGCGCCCGGAGCCCAGGGCTGGCTCTGGCTTTTTTGCCGCCCCAAGCAAAAAACAAAAAAAACAAAAACAAAAAAACTGCGGGGGGCCGGAGAGCAAAGCACACACACACACACACACACAAACACCTGTGGGGTGTCCGGAGCGGCAAAGCAAAGCAAAAAAACAACAACCTGCAGGCGGCCGGAGCAAGGGTGCAGGGGGACTCCCTGTGCTGCAGACGTGCAGCGGAGTGCGTGCCCGGTCTAGTGGGGGGCGGTCTGGGGGCACTGTGGATGCTGAGGGAGGTGGCCTGGGACCCCCACTGGTGCTGGAGGCCGCGGCGTGCAGCCCGGCACCCCTGTGGTAGTGTGTGTGTGTGCGGGAGGTTGGCGGGGCTGGCAGGGGCTCCCTGCCCAGCTCTGCATCCCTGCAGCTCCTAGACAGCGGAGAGACCAGGGGGCTCCAGCGCGCTGCTCCCGCCACAAGTGCCGGCTGCTGCAGCTCCCATTGGCCAGGAACCGCAACCAATGGGAGCCGCAGGGGAGGGGCCTGCGGGCACCAGCAGCGTGTGGCGTGGAGCCCTTCCCCCCCACCCCACTGCCTAGGTGCTGCAGGGCCATGCCAGTGGGAGCCGGGGAGCCCCCCCACCCCGAGGTAAGCGCCTCCCACACTCCCAACCCCCTGCCCCAGCCCTGAGCCAGCACCAGCCGCTGCAAAAGTCACGGAGGTCACGAAAAGTCACAGAATTCCGTGACCTCTGTCACAGACTTGCAGCCTCACCTACACGTTGCCCAGGCAGGGCTGCCGGAACATAGAGGGGCCCCGAGGGGGAATAGGAAAAAGTTGTGGTTACTCCTCTATAACTTTCAAACTCAGGCCCCAACACGGGGCTCAGGCAGGTGGAAGGAGATTACCAGCCCTGCAGCTCCCAACTTTTCCAGACCACTGTCCTCCTTTCAGCAGGCTGATGTCTCTGGCCTACCCCCAAGTTTCCCCTCATTTACAAACGACTCGCTTACAAACTCAGACATAATACAAAAGTGTCACAGCCACTAGTACTGAACAATTGCTGACTGTCGCATTTTTACCATTGAATTATAAAATAAATCGACTGGCATATAAATATTGTGCTTCCATGTCAGTGTATAGTCTATAGTGGAGTATAAACACGTCAGTGTCTGTCTGAAGTTTTAGTTTGTATGGACTTCGCTAGTCCTTTTTAGGTAGCCTGTTGTAAAACTAGGCTGATCTCTAGTGGAGTTGATGAACTCTGAGTACCCCCAGGGGACACGTACCCCCAGTGGAGAACCACTGCTCTAAAATACACCACCAGGGGTCTCTGTCCAGCCCAGAATCCCGAGGGCACAAAGCTGTTTAAAATTGGCACTGCTCCCTCTCCCCCGATCTGAGCCTGCTGCACAGAACAGCTCACACAATGAGGTGTAGCAATTTCAGACAGTTGTGCTGGACGAGGATTCCTTCCTACCTTGTACTCCTGGGCGGCCTCCTCTGCAGGAACCACCGTGTGAGCCCTGTGCTCCTTGGACCTGTCGCACACCACGCAGATGGGGGACTGATCCTCTTGACAGAAGAGTTTCAGAGCCTCCTGGTGTTTCTCGCACGCTCGCCCGGCTCCGACATCTTTTGTCGATTGCAAATGTAGCTGCTTGGCTATTTCTACCATGTTGGCCAGCTGCCAGTTAGGCCTGAGGTTCCTCTGGGGAAAGGTCGCTCTGCACTGAGGGCAGGAGACGTCTTTATCAGCTCCCTCCCAGCACTGGGTGATGCAGGCTTGGCAGAAATTGTGCCCACAGTCTATAGTCACCGGATCATTAAAATACTCCAGGCAGATGGAACAAGAAGCTTCATCCTGGAGGCTTTGCCTTGCCTTTGCAGCAGCAGCCATGGCTCATCCCGGGCAGGAGAGCCGTTTAATTTCACTTCCCTGTTCCCTGAAATGTGCTGACCCTTGAACGAGAAAGGGGAGTTTCCCTTCTTGTAAACAGGCTTGACGTGGAGTTGAGTCATGGTTCGGAACCGCAGCTTCCTGGTGACAGCTCCAAAGTTTGTCTCGCTCATGGAACAGAAGTGGGTCCAATCAAAGATATTACCTCGCCCGCCTTGTCTCTGCCGGGGGAATGCAAGATAAAGGACCAAAGCGATGTAAATCTGTCTGGGGGCACAGCACAGCTGGTATCACAGCCAAGACAACGGGACTGAGGAAGGGATCGACTAGCAGTGATTTTCAAACTTTTTGTATTGGTTTACACAGCAAGCCTCTAAGTGTGACCCCCCCCCGCCCGCGTATCAATTAAAAATGGGGGGTTAATTTAATGTAATGGGGGCTCAGGGGGAGTTGACAGCTCACAACCCCTGTGTAACCACCTTGCGACCCCCTGAGGGATCACAACCCCCAGTTTGAGAGCCCCTGGGATAGAGCATGATGCAATGGAGCTGTAGCAGAACTGGTTTATTTGGGGGACCCAAGGGTGGTAGCACAGGAGCGATCGCTGCGGTCAGACAGTCCGGCAGCGGGAAGTGTACTGTATCTCTTTGGTGGTGTCTGCAGTACAGGCTCTCCTCTCCGTCCCCTGAGCTGGTGCTGTCTTGGAGGCAGAAAACAGGTTAAACTCACCCCAGCTGGAGCAAGCTCTCCCTTTCCAGAGAGGAAGCAGCAAACTTCTCCCTCCTGGTGTCTTGAGCTAACGCAGGTCTGTTTCCTTATGATGATCTCTTGCTAGGATAGCTCAGGGTTGGCTGTGCAAAGCCCTTTATCTGGAGCTGTGAGGGGTCGGGGGGCGGAGAGAGAGCGCTTCATGAACGAAATGACCATTCACACACAAACCGAAGTGAACGTTTTCAGTACGAAACAAAACAAACTGGAACCAGTTTTGTCCAAACCCTGAAATTTCAAATGGAACCAAAAATTCAAGCTTGTCCAACACACAGTTTTTATACTGATTTAAATAGCAAAA